CTCCTCTCTCTCTCTCTCTCTCCTCTCTCTCTCTCTCTCTCTCTCTCTCTTCTCTCTCTCTCCTTCTCTGTGTTCTCTCTTTCTCCCTACCTACCTATCTATCTATCTGTTTGTCTATCTCTATCTCTCATTTTTCCCCCCCATCTTTCTCTCTCTCTCTATCTATCTATCTATCTATCTATCTTGTCTATCTATCTTATCTATTTCTCTCTCTCTCTCTCTCTCTCTCTCTCTCTCTCTCTCTCTCTCTCTCTCTCTCTCTCTCTCTCTCTATATATATATATATATATATATATATATATATATATATATATATATATATATATATATATATATATATATAATATATATATATAGTATATATATATATATATATATATATATGTATATATATATATATATATATATCTGTCTATCTATCTACTATCTACTATTTCTCTCTCTCTCTCTCTCTCTCTCTTCTCTCTTCCTCTCTCTCTCTCTCTCTCTCTCTCTCTCTCTCTCTCTCCTCTCTCTCTCTCTCTCTCTCTCTCTCTCTCCTTCTCTGTGTTTCTCTCTTTCTCCCTACCTACCTATCTATCTATCTGTTTGTCTATCTCTATCTCTCATTTTCTCATCCTTCTCCTCTCTCTCTCTCTCTCTCCTCTCCTCTCTCTCTCTATCTATCTATCTATCTATCTATCTATCTATCTCTCTAGATACATGATAAATATATAGACAGAAACATAGAAAGATAAATACAGACGGATACAATTACATACGCTTAGCTATCAATCCCGAAGGAATTATACTGGTTACCCCAATCCGACTAACTGGTTCTCCACCTCCTTCACCTCCTCCTTCGCCTCTCCCCTCTTCCTCTCCTCCTACTCCTTCTTTTCTCCACCTCTTCCTCCTTCTTCTCTTCTTCTCCCCTCATCCTTTTACTCCTTTCCCTCCTCTGCCTGCCGGTCCCCTTCTTTCTCCTCCTCCTCCTCCTGCACATCACTTTCCTCCACCTCCCCTTCCCATATCCCTCCTCTTCCTCCACATCCCCTTCTTCCTCTCCTCCCCCACCCCTTTCCTCCCCCTACCCTTCACTCCTCCCACTCCCCCTTCCCTCCTCTTCCTCCACCTTCCCCTCCCCCCCCCTGCTCCTCTCCTCTTTTCTCTTCCCAGTCTACCTCTTCTCCTCCTCCATTTCCCCCTTTCTCCCTCTCCACCTCCCCTCACACCCCCTCCTCTCCCTCTCCTTCTTCTTCATTCCCCTCTTCCCTCTCCCCCTCTCCCTACCCTTCACCTACTCTTCTCCCCTCCCCAACCCTCTCCCCCCTCTCCTTCTTCTTCTTCTTCCTCCCACTTCCTCCCTCTTCCCTCTCTTAACCCTCTCCAATCCCCTCCTCCCTCCCCTTCTTCTTCTTCTTCCCCCTTTCCCTCCTCCTCTCTCCACTTCTCCAAAACCTCCTCCTCCTCCCTTCTTCTTCTTCCTCCCCCTTCCCCTCTCCCTCCTCCTTTCTCCCCCTCTCCTCCTCCTCCCCTTCTTCTTCTTCCTCCCTTCTCGCCCACCCTTTCCTCTCCCCCTCCTCCACCTCCCTTCCTTCTTCTTCCTCCCCCACCTTTCTCCCCCTCCTCTCCTCCCTTCTTCTTCTTCTTCTTCCCCTTCCCTTCCTCCTCCTCCTCCTTCTCCTCCAAACCCCTCTTCTCCCCCCTTTTCCCCCTTTTCTCCCCCCCCTCCTCCACCACCTCCACCTCCTCCTCCTCCCCCTCCCCCCCTCCTCCCCTCCTCCCTCCACCTTCTCCTCCTCCTCCACCACCTCCTCCTCCACTTCGTACCCAATCCCAAATTCCACATCGCTCCGCCACATCTCTCTCCCTCCGTCAGTGCAGCACAAACATGGAATCCCAGCTCCCCACCGGCGATGCTGAGGGAAGAGATGTTCGAGCCCTCTCTCTTGGAGAACTTTTCAGCACTCTCTTGCCCCTAAAGCGCGGCTCACTCGCCCGAAATCGCATTAAGTCGAGAGCTCGGGTTCCTCTCCACTCAAGGAGGAAGAGGAGGAGGTGGAGGAGGAGGAGGAGGAGGAGGAGGAGGACGCGTTGGAGGAGGAGGAGGTGTGTGGCGCGTGTAGCTCTACCACGATATCGGTATTTGATGCTGCTAAAGGTATATATAACGAAGGGGGGAAAAGGGAGGGAGGAAGGGGTGGGAGGAAGGGGTGGGGTGGGGGGGGTGGGGGGGGTGAAGTCGTGTTTAAAATCGGAGTGTGGGTAGAGAGGGGGGAGGGATAGGTGGAGGGGCGAGGGGAGAGAGGGTGGGTTTGAGAGGGGATGGAGGGTGGTTAGAGAGGGAGTGAGGGTGGAGGATGGGTAGAGAGGGGGTGAAGGGTGGTGGGGTGTATGGGTGGAGAAGGGGTGGAGGGTGGGTAGAGAAGGGGTGGAGGGTGGGTGAGAAGGGGTGGAAGGTGGGTAGAGGGGGGGGAGGCTAGTAGAGAGGGGGTGGAAGGTGGATAGAGTTGGGGGGGAATGCAGATAGAGTATCGATGGATTTTGGCTGAAGTGTGGATAGAATGTTCGGATAGAGTGATCGGATGGAGTGCAGATAGAGTGGATAGAGTGTGGTTTGAGTTTGGCTGGAATGCGGATAGAGTGATCGGATGGAACGTGGTTGGAATGCCGTTGGAGTGCGGATAGAGTGTGGATGGAGTGCGAATATATAGTCTCAGCGTATCCAGCTGGATGAAATGTGGAGTGTGGGCGGAGTGGTGGCGGTTGGGTGGGTTTCCGGGATGAGATGTCCTTCGTGCAGATGATCCGTGCATTTCGGAGGCTGCATCTCGCTCGGGTGGGGCGGCAGGGCGGTTTTCCAGCTTCCGGTGGGCGGCAGAGGATTTGAGAAGGGGCGTACACGCTCATACGTACATATGTGCACGTACTTATAGTGTGTGTTTTGTGTGGTGTGTGTTTGTGTGTTACGTGTGTGTGTGTGTGTGTGTGTGTGTGTGTGTGTGTGTGTATGTGTGTGATGTGTGTGTGTGTGTGTGTGTGTGTGTGTGTGTGTGTCTGTGTGTATGTGTGTGTATGTGTGTGTGTGTTTGTGTGCGTGTGTTTGTGTGTGTGTGTGTATGTGTGTGTGTGTGTGTGTGTGTGTGTGTGTGTGTGTGTTTGTGTGTGTGTTGTGTGTGTGTGTGT